GGGGGGGGGGGGGGGGGGGGGGGGGGGGGGGGGGGGGGGGGGGGGGGGGGTGAAGCTGCCAGCGGGGTGACGTGGGTAGCAATTGGCTTGGTCCATGCCGGTGCATGACAAACAACTAGTAGTACATGACTGGATCTCTCGGCGATAGCACGCCCTGTATCTGCAAACAAATAAACATATCTCTGTCCAACTCTTCAGCGACAACATCCCCAAAACCGTTCTCGTCTGCAAGATGCAAGATGACCACGCACGCGATGCAGTGCCGTTCACCTCTTGCCACAGGCGACAGGAAGACTGAGCCGCCCACGGCAAACACACCATGGCAGGCTTTGTCGGAACGCCGGACTTACTACTTCAGGGTCGGGCGGGGACACCAAATGAAGACACACAGAGGGTGCGACGCGCCGTCACTCCCACGATGGTTGACGGGGTGGGCCCCCTTCTACTCACCGAGGCCCCCTCGAGTCTCCCACCCGGGGTCGCTGTCGCGGCCGCTGCCTAATCATGTCCCACCCCCAACCGTCGAGAAGAGAGCCTCGTCGAGATCTCGCCCCCGACCTTGCCGCCGCCTCTAGCCTCGGTAGTCCCGTCCCGGCTACGTGGCAACCAGTGTCGGTGGTCTCGAACAAAGGGTTGCTCCGGTCGTGCATGTGTGCCGCTCGCGGGGGGGGGTCGACTCAGTCTCTTTTCTGTCTCTGTCTCTATCTTGGTCTCTTTGTGCTTCCGTTCTCGTCGGCGTGGCGTGGGTCAGTGGGAACCTGTTTGTCGTGCAAGGCATGAAGGGGGACGAAGAAGGGAGAACAGAATCATTCAGCCAGAGAAACACAGAGACACAGATACGAAAGTCGGAGATAGAGAGACAGAGAGACAGAGAGACAGAGAGACAGAAAAAATCGCTTTATCGCTGTCGTTCGCAGGCCCTGCGGCTGTTGTACTGTAGCGGTCGTTCGAGAAAGGTTTCTCTGCTCAAACCTCGCTGCCCACTCCACCCAAAACACTGTAACATCATACTGTGGCTTCGTACGTCGCGCAGTATCGTCAGTCTTTGGAGCCAGCACAAGCACCTACACGTCTGTTTCGCAAAGGGCACGTTGCTGGCGGCTCTCGAACGTTGATCTCTTCCACGCTTTTCTGTACCATATCTTGGAAGCACCAGCCGGGGTTACGCACGAGGAAGGTTGGCCAACACTTTTTTTTTTTTCTTCTTTTTCACACTTCGTTTTTCGAGTTTTTCTCTGCCTTCCCCCCGCAGTCCCGCGATGCTTGTCTTCAATTTTGAACGCCAGAAAAGGGTTGACCAATTCCTAGCTTTTTTCCCCGCGACTCTGTGGACATGAAGTTATCACCTGGGAAACTAAAAACCCTTGCCGCTATTCTGCCATGAGACAGCGGTAGTAGTAGCAGCACATGCTTCGAGCGAGGCAAGTCGGCGTAGCCAGGAAAGAATAAACGTTTCGTCACTCTGCTGCATTCATGTGTTGGGCTCAGCTCGGTGTTAGGCTCACCGACGGTAAAGTAGCCAGCACCTACGACGGGCGTACAATACCCGTTTTTCCAAAGCATGGTCATCCATGCATCGTGCTGCGCGGTGTCGTGCAAGAGGGGATACGTTGTGTGCGTGCGGCAGCAAATATCTACTTCATATTACTGTAGGCTAACAACTTGCGGTTTTGGGGACATCTGAGCTGGCTCTAATTGTAGAGCCCCACATACTTCTTTGGGACCCTGTGGGTTGTCGGGGATAAACTCCAGCTCGTTTCGAATATTAGGTCTCGTGGCTACACTGCTATCGCTACGCCGGGGGCAAACGCAAGTAAGTACATACGGTACCGCTTTACTGATAGCCGTCGTCCAGTTTCCTCGTTCATTTAACTTTAACCCTCCTATAAAGTACCCAGTTTTAGAGAGTAAATAAAAACCCGGGGTACCAAGTTAGTGACAGGTTATGGGTCCAGAAAAAATCGCGTCCGCTCATTGGGAGAGGCCGTGTACAGCAGTGCCGAGGATCGAAGGCTGACTTGGCTCCAGTATGGATCGTCGGGACAATTTCCGCACTCAAGCCAAGTCAACATGTTTCCAGTACGACTCTGTAGGCTATGTACAGCAGTTGTATCGACAAGGGGACCCGCGGCTTGGGAGGTTGTGTCCCAGCAAGTTAGAGGCCCAGGAACCCAGGAGAGGCACCCAAGCATGCGAGAGCAAGGTTTGAAGGTTTCCACGCACGTTTCACGTTGCGGAGCATTCATAGTCACGACCACGGTGCGGTTAGCAGGTATTTGAGTGCTGTGTCCCCAAAGTGTCCCCTGTTTAGGGTTCAAGTGTGTGTACAGTCGTATGCATAGGAGGGTTGAAGCAGTCGGTGCGTCGTTGATAACAACAAGAGGTTAAACATTCATCGAACTTTAGCGTGAGGCGGAGCACAACTGCGTACCGCGCCCCAGGCGACGAACGAATGGTTGGATGTTGATCGGTGAGTTCGTCGCCGAGCCTACCACCGACCTCGAATATCTATAACGAAACTTCAGAAAAACAACAAGCTAGATGGACTACATTTTAAAGCCGCGCGTGCCTCTCGTCTAACTACCGCAGCGATGGCCTGCGCGGGTGTGACCACGGCATATCCGAGGGCCCGAGATATGTCCGAAGCTCTAGGTAGACAACCATTACTTTCTCCGAACAACGTACGCCACAATGAACGAGCAACCGCTGTACTACAAGCTTCCCCCGAGGCCGTCAGCACTCCCACAAAAAAAAAGCGTCTACCACTGCTGCTGCTACAGGCCAGGATATCAACTACTATCTGTATCATCAACCATGTGAAGGCGGTTGTTGCCCCGCTCTGTCTGCTGGTTTGAAATTCTGGACTACGAGAAGCCGAATAAATACGTTTTGTACGAAGAGGTCGAGTGACAGCAGGTTCGATAAACCGACTTCTTCAGGCGTACAGAACCTGCAAGATGGTTTCATAGTTCCTTCTTTGAACCGGGCACAAGGCACTCACTCGCTGATCGGTAGAGAACGTCCACGCCGAAGAGAGCGTGGTGTTTCAGGGCCGTCGTCGACGGGCAGTGAGGTGAGTGGGCGTGGGAGGGAGCGTCGAGGCCCCGCAGAAAGTGATAACCTACCTACCCAAGGGGCAATCCGCGGAGACCCCTGTTGCAGCTGCCTGAGCCGGCTCGCGCGTGCTTGGGCACAGCCACAGCCGAGCCCAGCTTGGTAGCTTTGCAGCACACGATACAAACGATCACGCGCTAACCGGGTGTCATCCGGCACAGGAGATATCCTGTCGCGGAGGTTCCTCACTGAAATGAGGCGCGGAACTGGGTTGGTCTTGGTTGCAACGCTGGGGTCGCTAAGGGAGGCGACCAGCTTTACAATGTTGTCCGGTCTGAGACGGACCGGTGCCAGGCGCGGGATGATGGCCTTCCTTGGCTCGACAGGGGTTCCGTCCTCATCCAGCACGCCGAAGGCTTCGTCTCGGTGGGCAAGCACGGCGGTGATGTCGGCATCGGCTCAGAGCGTTGTGTCCGACGGGCCTTCCCTCTCCGTCAGCAAGAGGAAGGAGTCAGTGGCACACGAGGCCTATGACGTCGTTGAGGAGGATTTCGTGGCGGAGTACGGGGCCACCACCACGCTCTACAAGCACAAGAAGTCCGGGGCGGAGGTTCTGAGCGTCCAGATCGACGACGACAACAAGGTGCGGCAGGCTTTGCTCTTTCCGTGGCCATTGGGTATTTCGTTTTTTAGTCGTGTTTTCCTCTGTTGGGCAATGACGAAACCGGGGAATGACGCGGTATGACACTGCTGGAGCAATCTGCGCTGTAGACGCAGTTGGAAAGCCCACGCTCTCAAATAGCCAACCGAGCGCAGCTCCCAAATAACTAATTGTAAACGTATTTAGTAGTTTTATTGGCAACAGCTTCGCCTCTAAGGCAACCGCGTCGCTCTTGTTGCTGCTGCGCGGCGAAGGATTCTCGGTCCACAACAAGCGGCATGTATCATGCGACCTGGTGTTCAACAGCAGCGGCGGAAATCAAGATGACGAGGAATTTGTTCCGCTGTCGAGGCTCGCTCGTGACACGAATACAGGAACTATACCATGTTACGAAGCGACACAACTTGCTTGACCGCAACCGTGAAGGCACAGTTGAATATAGGTTCAGAATCCCCCCAAAGCTCCTGCCCTTAACCTCGCACGCTTGCGAAGGGCTGCTCATGCTGCGATTGAAGTACAACAGCGCAACAGCGAGCTCCCTTTTCTGTTTCCACGATAATACTCCGCCTCGGTCACACTTTGACATCGCGTCGCCATTATAACGTCAGCATCCTCCTATCCGTGTCCACAAGATTCGGAAGAAAGTGGAGGCCACCTATGCTCTCTTCCAGCAGCTCGGGAACGTCAAGAATAACCAGCACGCCTTCTAGCTGTGTAACATGGGTGCGCCTTTCTCGCTGGTGTGCGTGTCATACCAAGCATCTCTCGTGTATTCTGGGCGACTTCAATGACGGCATTCCCTCGCTGACTTGACATGGACGAGGAGGAGCAGTTCAACATCCCCACCGCAGCCTGTGGAAAGGGTTTGATAGTTGACCAACAGAGCCCCTCCCCTTCCCCCCCCCCCTCCCCCGCCTTCGTGAAATCAGGTATTCGGGGTCACCTTCAGAACCCCCCCGGAGGACTCGACCGGAGTGCCGCACATCCTGGAGCACTCGGTGCTCTGCGGCAGCCGAAACTACCCTGTCAAGGAGCCCTTCGTGGACCTGCTCAAGGGCTCCCTGCAGACCTTCCTCAACGCTTTCACCTACCCGGACCGCACCTGCTACCCGGTTGCATCCCAGAACCTTAAGGTTTGTTTGGGGGGAATAACGTTCGAAAGCAAGGCACGGGAGGGTCTGCCATGCTGGGAAACTCTGACGTTGCCGAAAGCCTCGGTGCTGACTGCCTCTTGTTGAAAGGCTCACTGTCTGCCTGCTTCTCTCTCGCCTCCTTTCGACGTTGGGTAAACACGCTGTTGGCGTGGTCCCTACTCGTATCCTTCCGCTGTTGCGTATGTCTGGTTCGGCCTTACCGTTGCTGCCGCCGGTGTTGCTCGACGCTGCCCTCTCCCTTGTTATCTCACCCCGCCCCTCCCTCACTTAACAGGACTTCTACAACCTTGCGAACGTGTATCTGGACGCGGTTTTCTACCCCCGGGCGGTCAGCGACCCACAGGTGAGCAGCTATCGTAGTTGGCATAAGACGTCACACCCCCTGGCCGATTGTCGAAGCTCGATTACTGGGCGGGGAAAGGAGTGACGGTGCCGAGAATGGCGGCGTTGGAACCGTCTCGTCCAGAGCTTTCCGAAAATAATGTTATCAGTTGATTGCGGCGTCCCCTTCGTTGAGTATTTTTGAGCTTTGAAAATTGGTCCCTTTCGAACGCAATAACGGCGATCGGCTCCGCGAGGCATGTAACGAAGGCGCCCCCCTGGTAGATCGACCAATATTGACAGCGTTGGCTGTGGTCAAAGGTCTACGGAATGTTGCAGCCATCCCACCCGCTGTATGGCTTATCCCGCAATGTCGTTTTCTTCTCTCTTTTTTTTGCGTCCCATAAGTCTACCACCCGCTCATGGTTTGCTTGCGTGCTGCGTTTTTGCCACCCATGTGAGTGAATATGCGGTACCCATAATGGTGGTCGAGCAGATTATGTTGTGCGGGGTCGAGACCACTCACTCCGCGTACAGGGGATGATCGCACAACGTTGGGTCAAATTGGTCAAGCACCCTCGAGGCAGTTACACAGTGCCTACAACCGTCTCTGGAAGTGAAAGCACCAGAAAACAAATGAGGTCATACGCAGCTGTCATCCGTACGCAAGGAAGTAAGCCCAAGACGCCGAACACCCTTAGCAGGATGCAGCGCATCCTTCATTCCACCCGCCGAATACCTCACGGCACTTCGCGCTTGGTGATGTGAGAGCCTGGTCCGGTGAAAACCTGGCGTTCTCCGTCCCGGCTTTGTGGGGATGCGAGGTCAATGGTCTAACGACTACGGCATGCACGACTATGAGTACACGCCCCCCTCCCCCGCTTGTGAGTATTTGGCCCTCGCCAATCCCTTGTGCTTTCCCACCCCGCGCCTTGCCCATGAGGCACATGTCTTCAGCCCCATCTACAGGTAGGAGTGTTGTAGTTTTCGTTCTTGTGTTGAGAATGCTCCCTCTCTTCTTGTGTGCTGTTGGTTGTGCCTTTCTGCCTTTTCTAATCCAAACACCCGAACGAAAGAAAACAACCGACTATTCATGAAAAGGAACCCTATCCCTATATATCCCTAACTCTAACCCTAACCCTAACCCTAACCCTAACCCTAACCCTAACCCTACCAGGTGATGGAGCAAGAGGGGTGGCACTACGAGCTCGAGGACACAAGTGACCCCCTGACGTACAAGGGCGTGGTTTTCAACGAGATGAAGGGCGTCTACTCGTCTCCGGACTCGCTCCACGGCCGCACCTGCCAGCAGGTGACCAATCGGACCCCAAGACGCTATCGCGCGTGTTCGATCCATTCAATAGAGGCGTGTTCGCTCTCCGCTGCAGTTTTGCGGTGCCCTCTTTGATGCATTGCACGGCAGTAGGAGTACGGCTGCCGCAACATGTCCTTTGGTTGGCATGCTCCTTCCTGTTTCTAGGTCTGGGAGGTGGCCGTCCCGACCTCCCTCGCCGTTCACGGCCTCCAATGTAGTCTCCTATCCCTAGTCTTGAAGTTCTCTGTCATCCCCAGGCTTGAACACGCTTCCTTATAACGAAGACCCATGCCGTACTCAACGCTCAATGACTATCTTGTGTCTTGTTTACTTCTTTGTTCTCTTTCAGACTATTTTCCCCGACAACGCTTACGGCGTCGACTCCGGAGGAGACCCATCGGCCATCCCTAGCCTGACTTTCGAGTACTTCAAGGGCTTCCACCAGCGATTCTACCACCCGGGCAACAGCCGCGTCTACTTTTACGGAGATGACCCCCCGCTCAAGGTGCCATGACACTCATCGTCTGCGTTCAGTGTTGTAGTGTTTCCTGTAATAGGTCGCATCAACGAAGCCGGTTGTCCTGTGTAAGGCTGGTCAAATCGCGTGCCACACCAGATTATGAGTATCCCCTCCCCCCACCTGCTTGCTAGAAATCGTTCTTTTCACAACCCTAACCCCACCCTCTCGTAACCCCTCCGCCTGCATTTCCTGATTTTTGTATGTCTGTTAGCGTCTGGAGCTATTGGACGGCTACCTCTCCGACTTCGACGCATCCGGCGCTGACACTAGCGGATCGCAGGTTCAGTGGCAAAAGAAGAAGACAGAGCCGTGGAGGGTTACGGAGGAGTTCCCTGCCGGAGAGGACAGCAAGGGTAAGACTTGAGGCCATGAGTGATGAGACATGTCCGCACGTTGTGATGGGGCGATGTTAAGCGTGTAACTCCCTCCTCCACTCGTGCTGTAGAGATGCGAGGGCCAGTATGTTGGTGCAGAATCACACAGGATGTATGCTCAAGACGGGTGGGTACCCCCCTGTCTGTACAACAATGGTTTTTACACCCCCCATCCCACCCGGCATACAGTATTGCTTCTTGCCGGCATCGCGGGCATGCAAGGTCTCCAGTCTAACGACTGTTAATACGGCATGCGTTCACATGAGGGCATCCCTCCCCCCTAGCCCCACCACTCCAGGTAAGCACAGGGCATGCGTTTACGTAAGAGAGTACCCCCCCTC